CAAGAGTATTTTTGTTTGTTTTAAAGACCAAATTATATCACAATCTTCTCTCTGCATATAGCCAAATGCACCTTGGAGAATAATAATATTATGATAATAATAATAATTTGAATTTATGCAACATTAAAAATTGGTTCTAAAGCAACATCTTTTTATTGATCCCCATTCACTAATGAGTATGCTGATTTTTAAAAAGGTTAAGTAACTTGCCCAAGGTCACAGAATTAGGGAATACTGGAACAGTGATTCAGGTCTGTTTGATCCCAAGAATATACTGTCTGCTATTGCTTCTAGTACTTGGGAAAAGAAAATCCTCCTCCTTGTAGGAAAGACTTTCTGTGTTTTTCCATCACCTACTCTTCCCACAAGCATCAGGACACATTCTATTTCTTCTATTTTAACACTCTGAATATAAACTCATTGTTGTGGTTAAATTTTCAGCAGTTCTGCCTTGTTGTTTAAGAAAATAGCAGAAAGAACAAGAAACATAATCACAGTATTTCTAAGGCTAATGTTCTATAGTTCTTTTCTTACAATGGAACATAATTCTAATTTTTATTAAACAAATGAGGTTTAACAGAGAATATCAGCCTAATAACCAAACAGTGAAATTTGAAATACTTTGTTTTCCACATAAGTTTGGGCCTTTATTATTCAAAAACTTTAGTTTTGGATGTTATTTTGCATTTCACAGTCAATTAAATTCAGTGCAACTTATTTAATATGCAGATGAAGAGGGAAGGCTTCAGAGAAAAGGAAGCTGGCATTCAACAATAGGTAGGAATTTGGGCCAAACTGCTATGTTTATCTCCTACTAAACATGAGAAATTGTGTAGGGTAACTTTCTCTCTAAATTCAGTCAGACTGATCGGAAGAATTGAGGCTAATTTCCTACCTCAAAAGGTTATTGGGGTGATCATGTGGTATAACATATGATAAATTGCCTACCCTTGTGCCCAGGACGTAGGAGGATTTCAAAAGAGTTTAATATGTCTGAAGTTTAACAGAGGTATAAGTGCTATGGACTTACAGAGCCTGGAAGAGGTTTTGAAAGGAGTGATATGGGAAAGATTTCATGGAGTATGCTACATTTACCATATTTGACCATGCATAATGCATGCCAATTTTTTTGGTGGGGAGCAAACTTTCAAAAAAAAAAAATCTTTCATTTTATTTTATTATTTATTTATTTTGTTTGAGACAGAGTCTCAAGCTATCACCCCCGGTAGAGTGCCGTCACGTCACAGCTCACAGCAACCTCAAACTCTTGGGTTAAGTGATTCTATTGTCTCAGCCTCCAGAGTAGCTGAAACTACAGATGCCCACTACAATGCTCAGCTAGTTTTTGTTGCAGTTGTAATTGTTGTTTTAGCTGCTCTGGGCTGGGTTCAAACCTGCTAGCCTTGGTGTAGGTGGCTGGCACCCTACCCACTGAGCTATGGACGCCACCTCATCTTAACTTTTTAATTTAACAAAACCAGTTACCGTATTTCAGGATATTATTTTATATACAGATACCATCATTGCTTTCTAGAGTCACACTTTTAACTCAAAAGTATAAATAAAAGAATCAAAACCAGTTATGTAAATAGGGAATTATACTATCCAGGTATCACGTGAATCTTTATTTTTCCCTCAAAAATTTGGGCAAAAAAGTGTGTATTATACATGGGAAAGTGTGGTAGGCTGGCTCTTATAGAATGGGTAGAATTCTAGCAAGTGGAGATGAGTGATAACAAAATTCCAGTAGAGTAAATGGAATAAACAAAGTCAGGAGAGGAGCTACCTGTAATCCAGGAAGCACTAGCAATGAGAGCTGCCTTGGTATAAGAGGTTTATATAAAGAGGGAGATGAGGAATTAATCAGGCAAGGAGACTGGGACATTCCATTTCAATCACCATTATTTTATGCAGCCCTCAGAAAGAAAGAACCCAGCCAACTGCAACACTCAAAGTATTTATTTTCCTGAAAGAACCTTTTTAGAATTATTTAGACACTATGTATGATTCTCCTGCCTCAGTAGGACAGAAAATAAAAGCAAAATAATTTGGTTCAAAAATGCTTAAAACATCTTCACTTTCAGCATGTTGAATCAAGTCATGGAAGTCATGAATTTTCATACAATGTTGTCCTCCGTGCTATGGTGAGCACTGGGATGTGGCATTTCTTCAAGGAGTCCTCCACTTTTCTGAGTTTCCTCCAAACTGCCAACACCCACTCCGCAAAATCTGATGTGTGTCCTCAGGCGGTGGCAACCACATCAGGACTGCCACATGGCTGCCAGAGATTTTTAAGACAGAAGCTGATTTCAGAGATGTTAAATGTGAAAAAAGAAAATGTGCTTCTTAGAAAATCTTTGAAATTTGGTGGCCTCAGAAGGCCCCCCAAATATATTATGTTTAGAGTCTGTACTTTAATCTGTAGCCAATTGTGAAGCATAAACTGCTTTTGAATCAGATGAGTCCTCTGAGTAAAACATTCTGGCATTGGATGTGGAGGGATGGGAGCCCCAAGGCCAGTGGGTTAGTGAGGGCTGAAGATGGTCTTACCCGGGGGTCATCTGAGGTAATGAAGAGCCTCCATGGAAGGCCTCTCTAGCGAGCAAGTTCAGAATATTTCCCTTCATTGTTTATAGAGAAAAAGCTTACATTTTAAGTTAAATTTTGTTTTTCAGCAATCACATGTCTGGCTCCTGAAATAAGAATGGGAAGATTTATACAGTAAAAGTAATTCGGGCAGATCTAGTTTATCCAGATGGATGGTCTCAATTTTAGAGTTCACATGCTACTGACCAGTGGGCTAGAAATGACTTGCTAATACATCTGACCAACAGTGTGGTAAGAGCAGCTTTTGGTAATTATAAAAAATAATTGAATTTAATCTGTAGTCTTTAGATGGGGTACACATTCTCATAGAGCTAGCACACCCGGCTGCCTCACACATTTATTTTTCCTGCTCAATGTCTGAATTAATTTACATCATGATCTCTGGCACATGGATTGATAACACCCACTATTTCCTTTCTTCAAGAGAAGAAATTTCGAATGTCACTTTATTCAAAACACAACTGCAGACTCATGTATGACTACCATAACCCTCCTGAAGGCCTGATTAGTCCAGACCAAGATGGGATATTAGAAACAATTGGCCGCATTGTGGTTGGCCTTTATTCTCACCCTGCTTAATTTCTCTGGGGATATTTGATGGTACTCCTTTATGGAATTTTTTTTTCTCTTTCCTACTTAGGTTAACTGAATTAATATAAACGACTGACAAATTACCAACTTATCTTTTATTTTTTTTAATCCCATGGGCTGAATTTTAGCACTCAGAGTTTTGAGGACAAAATCTTGGAGGTATAAACCCAAGCAGAAGGAGGCTTAAAGAAGGCCCAAAAATGCCTCAGAAGGAAGGAAGGATCTCACATTCTTAGATGTAGGATGAATCTACATCCTTTTTGTCCTGTTGTATAACTTCCATCAATAGAGAGTTCACGCATTTATTCAAGGCCTTTGTCTTCCTGGTTACCACTACCAGATTCTTAATCTTAACAGTCATGCTTCACCCTGTTTTCTTTCCCATTTCTACACTTCAGACATACTGATCTTGGAGCCATGAGACACACAAGCAGAGAAAGAGACAGAGACACTTTAAGCATAAAGATGGGAGCTACTATGAAGATGTCATTCAGGACAAAAATATTTGAGGCTCTTGCCTTTTTGCTGTCCCCACCACACATCAAGAGAGGAACCACATGAACCTATAAGGCAGAGCCCTTAAGGAAAGGAACAAAAGGCTTAGAGGTCTCAAAGGGAAGAGAAAGGAAGACAGGCAAGGTCTTTAGGGAAGAGATTTGTGTCACTGACTATAAGCATGGTAGCCACATGGAGTCACAGAGCAGACACATGACTCTAGATCAAGGCACCTGTCCCCGTAAGATGGTGAGGATGTAAGCTGAGGACAGCAGATGATCCCACTCCCAAATACTCAGTCCTCTGTGGACTCTGTATGATATGAACACGTGGCAAAGGTTTTGTGCACTCATCCGACCTCTGTGTGCTTGGCTGACTACGCCACTGGTGCTGTGTGTCCATAGATTACTTTCTACAGAGACTCATTAACTGCAATGGGTCCACCCAGAAAGCCAGAACTGCCTGGGAAGCTTCCCTGCCCAGGCAGTGAACAAAAAGAGGGTTAGGGGAAGGGACTTAAGGTAAGCAGGCTAGGAAGCTGATGTGTCAGCCTACTCGCTTATGGAGTCTCCTGAGTCTTTTCTGGTACTCATTAAATGTTAGCTGGGATGAAGGTCTAGGTCCCCTTCCAAATCCAGAGTACTGCTGGCCCTAGAATGCTCACTATAGATTTTTTTTTAATTTTTTATCACTATAGATCTTAAGAGAAGATCATACTGGAGGGAAGTAACTCTTGGGAATTTGATGAGCCATTTGTCTAAACCATTGGCTCTAAACCTATGGATTGTGACCCACAGGAACTGTATTAAAGGGCCGTGGCCTTAGGAAGGTTGAGAACCACTGGTCTAAACAATTGATTGGAAGAAGAGTAGTTACCAGAAGTTCAGTACCTCCTCAAAATCATTCCTCTCAGAAGTAGATAGAAATTCACTTTATACAATACTCAGCTATCTTCTGCCCCGTCAGTCTGCACTGTCCATTGTAGGACTGTTTTGAGGAAATCTGGCACAGTCCTTTTTGGAGCCTCTTATGTGGTTATGGTTTTACAATGTGTGAAGATCTTCTAACTATGAAATCATAAACAGCGAGCCAGTTTCTGCCTTCATTTACTCATAGTTGCCACCTCCCTCTGAGCAGCTTTTGAGATGATGTAAACTGCGTCTTCTCCCCTTTGGATAACTCTTTCTAAATTTCCTTCTTTTGATTTTACCTTATGCCAGTTTCAAATGACTATCCTCTAACTTCAAGCCAAATGAGCAGTTCTGAGCTCATAAAGAAATGTCAAGAGGAAGGAGGAAGGAGAGAAAATGGTGTCCACGGATTATAGTACCTACCACCAAGCTGCAGCCCAGCAGGGCTACAGTGCTTACACCGCCCAGCCCACTCAAGGATATGGACAGACCATCCAGGCATATGGGCAGCAAAGCTATGGAACCTATGAACAGCCCACTGATGTCAGCTATACCCAAGCTCAGACAGACTGCCTATGCAACTTCTTATGGACAGCCTCCCACTGGTTATACTACTCCAACTGCCCCCCAGGCGTACAGCCAGCCTGTCCAGGGGTATGGCACTGGTGCTTATGATATCACCACTGCTACAGTTACCACCACCCAGGCCTCCTATGTGTCTCAGTCTGCAATGGCCCTCAGCCTGCTTACTGCACCTAGAAGACTGTAGGATGGTAACAAGCCTGCTGAGACTAGTCAACCTCAGTCTAGCACAGGGGGTTACAACCAGCCTAACCTAGGATTTGGACATAGTAACGACAGTTATCTCCAGGTACCTGGGAGTTGCCCCATGCAGCCAGTCACCACAATGCCATCCTACCCTCCTTCCAGCTATTCTTCTTCACAGCTGACTAGTTATGATCAGAGCAGTTACTCTCAGCAGAACACCTATGGGCAGCTGAGCAGCTATGGACAGCAGAGTAGCTATGGTCACAAAGCAGCTATGGTCAGCAGCCTCCCTCTGGTTAACCGCCCCCCAAACAGGATCCTACAGCCAGGCTCCAAGTCAATATAGCCAAAAGAGCAGCAGCTATGAGCAGCAGAGTTCATTCCAACAGGACCACCCCAGTAGCAGGGGTGTTTAAGGGCAGGAGTGTGGAGGATTTTCCAGACCAAGAGAAAACCGGAGCATGAGTGGCCCTGATAACTGGGGCAGGGGAAGAGGGGTATTTGATAGTGGAGGCATGAGCAGAGATGGGCAGGGAGGAGGACACAGTGGAATGGGCACTGGAGAGCAAGGTGGCTTCAATAAGCCTGGAGGACCCATGGATGAAGGACCAGATCTTGATGTAGATCCAGATGAAGATTCTGACAACAGTGCAATTTATGTGCAAGGATTAAATGACAGTGTGACCCTAGATGATCTGGCAGACTTCTTTAAGCAGTGTGGGGTTGGTAAGATGAACAAGAGAACTGGACAACCCATGATCCACATCTACCTGGACAAGGAAACAGGAAAGCCCAAAGGTGATGCCACAGAGTCCTATGAAGATCCACCAACTAACTGCAAAGGCTGCCATGAAATGATTTGATGGTAAAGATTTTCAGGGAAGCAAACTTAAAGTCTCTCTTGCTCAGAAGAAGCCTCCAATGAACAGCATGCGGGGTGGTATGCCACCTCGTGAGGGCACAGGGGTGACACCACCACTCTGTGGAGGTCCTGGAGGCCCAGGAGGTCCTGGGGGACCCATGAGTCATATAGGAGGCCATGGAGGAGATAGAGGAGGTTTTCCTCTGAGGGGCCCCCGGGGCTCTGAGGGAATGCCTCAGGAGGAGGAAACGTCCAGTACTGAGCTAGAGACTGGCAGTGTCCCAATCTGGGTTGTGGAAACCAGAACTTCGCCTGGAGAACAGAATGCAACTAGTGTAAGGCCCCAAAGCCTGAAGGCTTCCTCCCACCACCCTTCCCGCCCCCGGGTGGTGATCATGGCAGAGGTGGCCCTGGTGGCATGCAGGGAGGAAGAGGTGGTCTCATGGACCGTGGTGGCCCTGATGGAATGTTCAGAGGTGGTCGTGGTGGAGACAGAGGTGGCTTCTGTGGTGGCCGGGGTATGGACCGAGGTGGTTTTGGTGGAGGAAGATGAGGTGTCCCTGGGGATCCCCTGGACCTTTGATGGAACAGATGGGAGGAAGAAGAGGCAGACATGGAGGACCTGGAAAGATGGATGAGGGCAAGCACCGTCAGGAGCACGGAGACTGGCCCTACTAGATGCAGAGATCCCACAGAGCTGCATTGACTACCAGATTTATTCTTAAAACCAGAAAATGTTTTAAATTTATAATTCCATATTTATAATGTTGGCCACAACATTATGACTATTTCTTCTCTATACTTTAGTACTTTTCACCATTTGTGAAGAAACATCAAAACAAGTTAAATGGTAAAAAAAAAAAAAAAAAGAAAAAGAAAAAAGAAAAAAAAGAAAGAAATGTCAAGAGATGCTCCATGTACAAAGTTTCCCCACCTGAGTCTGTGACTCTCTTGGTTATATTTACCACCCGTATAAAAATATTTGATATGATTAACCACACACTTGTAAATTCACTATAGAATCTTTCTGGGTGTGCAATAATAAATTGCTTTCAACTCCTGAGTTTTTCGTGCATGCTGGGCAATGAGGTAGGTACCAAACATGCGAAGGTGGGTAAGGCTCAACCCATGCTCCTGAGGAACCTGCTGTCTCGCAGGGAATACAGAGAAAATGAGAGAATGCCATGGGATGTGTTCTGGCCCAGAGTGAGCAGGGAAGGAAGTGTGAGGACAGAAGAGAAGGTGTCATATGTCTCAAGAGCACCTTTCAAAAGGCTGTTTTTGATAAAGATCACAGGAAAGCAGAAGCAGGGGCAGGACGGGTGGGTGCGTTTTCTTTTCCAGGATTCTAATCTCTTTGAGTGGGTGTCTTTCTTTACTCAGATTCCTGCAGGGCAGGTTATGGTTACTGGTTCTAGATCAAGCAGTTTCCAGGAGACAAGCATCCTTATACATATCCCTAGAAGGTCCCAGGAAGCATCAGGAACACGATGTGACTGGACAGCAGCTCTGCCCCACTCCTAAGTATGAACTTGATTAGAGACAGAGGATGTCCCCTGACAAGCGCATCCACTTCTCCTGGAATATGCGTGCACTGTGGAGGAAGAGCATCCCGGCTGCTCTTTTTCCAGGATGATGTGTCTCTGCTTGGTGATCATCTGATTTTTCCTCTCCCTTCGAGAGAAAGTAGATTGGACTTTCTGCTACATGAACACTTGTGGGCAGAGACACTTTTCACAAGGGAATCTGGCAATGAATGCTAGCTTTGATGTCTTCAGTCATTATGCCAGTGAGTGATGTGGTTCTCTGCAGGGTCTGTGTGTCCCTAAAGGAAAGTCCAGAATGGGCATAAAGATGTTGTTTGAGGCAAATGTCCAATCAATTACTGAGCATAGCTCTTCAATCAATTACTGAGCATGTATATATATACACATACACACACACATACATACATGCATGCATACAGAGAGAGAGAGAGAGAGAATGGAAAAACTGAGAATAAAATCTGTTTACAGTTAGCACCCTGCTTATGCCCAGATACAGATGAAGGGAATGAATGTCTTTGGTGGAGTTGCTATCCATTTGTTTATGATGTTTTAGATTTAATCTTCTATGTTTAATGCTGAAGAGATTTTTTAGCCAGGGTAAGTCCAACTACGGTAATAAACAAATGGCAAAATGCAAAATGGCTCAATGGAAAATGATAGGAGAAGACTATTTCTTATTCACATGGAATTCAAAATGAGTGTTTGTAACTGGCTCGCAGCAATCAGCAATTTAGGCTCACTCTTGTTGCTTTGAGATTCACTGTGCAGCCTCCAAGAACCTGATAAACACGCAAAAGCAAAAGGGTAATCCACATCTGAGTTCTTGGTGGGTAAGGCTGAAGGTAGCCTGCATCCCTGCTGCGCACATTTCACAGCCAGTAACTCAATTACATGCATATACTTGATTGTAGGAGAGGCTGGTTATAAAAAAAAAACTAATATAAAATATACATAGAAAATATGAATCATCGTTCTATGGGAAAATATATTAGACTAATAAATATCTGAAAATGCCCAAGTTCATTCATAATTAAGTAAGCATAAATCAAAATAGCACTTAGATTCGTTTTCTCATCTCTTGGACTTAGAAATGTCTGATGAGTAATTGTGAGACATTCCTCCCCTTAGATGAAACAGAAGCTCCATTATTCCCATTCCTTACATCATCCATTGAGGATAAAACCCGGTAGGAATAGTGTGGTTAGACTTCCGTGGCACACTTAAATTATGTTGATCATACTGTACAGATACAGCTAATCATCTTCACTTTTCATTTCAGTTAATTTTTAGTTCATTTACTACCCAAATAATACCCATGTTTCCCAGGACGTGAATTTGGTGAAGAATTTGGGCTAATTCTTCTCCAGACTATTTCACATTCTGAATTTTTCTGATTGAGCCCTCATGAAGTCATTTGGTTTTTTAGACTTCAAAGCTTGGTAGATTTAATGTGAACATTTTAGATAGGGCACCTATAGGGTGAGCATACTTAATCTGAAAATCTGAAATTCAAAAACTGAACTGCTACAGAATTTAAAACTTTTTGAGTGTCAACCTGACACTCAAAGGCAATTCTCATTAGAGCATTTCAGATTTTTGAATGAGAGGTACTCCACAGGTATTATGCAAATATTCCAAAAATCTAAAAAAAATAAAGATCACTTGTTTTAAGAATTTTGAATAAAGGATACTCAACCTATAATAGACATGGTATATAAGTCATGATGTATCATAGCACAAAATACATGGTATCTGTATCACCCAGTCAGAGGTACTGAAATTGATCACTGGGTCAGAGCAATGACAACCTGATTCCTCCCTGGTGGGTATAGTTTCCATTTTCTATAGTAAATGATGGTATTGCTATAGTACCATATGAATCACTTGTTGGTTTTAACAACTGTTAAGCATTATCTGAAGCAATCATTTCATCGTGATTTATGAAACGGAGCTTATTGTTAGTTGTTGTTACTTTTTATTCTAAAATGTGTCTCTTAGTGAGAGGAATGGACTAGAACTCTTTTCTAAATCATGGAAGAGTATTATCATGTATGCTATTAAAAATACTTGAAAATGTGTGGCTCAAAGGAGTAGGGTGGCAGGTTCAAACCTGGCCCCAGCCAAAAACTGCAAAAAAAGAAAAAAAAAACTTGAAAATTGGTACAGGACTAGTATTGACTGGCCATAACTCTGAATTAGCTTGAAAGGGAGGCAATAGTATCCAAACAGCAAGATATTGACTATGTAGTAACCAGTACTGAAGAAATTCACCAATCAGTCTGGGTCTCCTAGTACACACTAACTGGTGTCAGTCTGACGACTGCCAGAATGATATAGGGTTGATATCAATTTTTTTTCTTTATTGTTGCTGTCATAGGTGTGTGTCTTGGTATGTGTGTTTACACGTACATTTATTTGAACATATATGACCTATAACTTGGAATTATTATAAAAATCATTATCTTTTAAAATCTAATTTATTTATTTGTTTTTTTAATATCAGAATATTAGGGGGATACAGATGTTTAAGTTACAGACAATCCTTTAGCAACGTTTGAGTCAAAGTTGTAAGTGTGCCCTTCACTCAGGCAGTGTGCATTGTACACCCAAAATTAGTTTGGTGAACAATCAGCTGGAAATTTGATTAGATATTCTTTCAATATTTGACTCTAAAAAAATTGTTATCCAACCTTTAATTTCTTTACTTTCTCAAGATTTTGTGCAGGCCTAATTGGAAATTACCCAAAAATATTTCTATTACTTTTTCACTTAAGACACACTTTATTTAAACCCAAATTTGGAACAATTTGGAAAAGAAGAACAAATCATTTTAATATACTGTTGCCAATATGATGTTTTATTTTATCATAAACCATTTAAATGTTTTTTTAAACCTAAGAATTGCATATGTAGCTCGTTTAATTAATGGAATATTCCTGCCATATGATCACATTAGCAGAGCCAGTCCTTGTTGTAAACTAGTCAGCCCAATCAGATTTTTCTGGTAAGAAAAAAAAGTATGATTTTATCATTTCAGTTCAAATTAGTATGTTATATATATTCTTGCAAAAAACATCTTACAAATTTCATTGCAAGATATAGTAATTAGGCTTAAGACTTTGCCAAAATTCGTCTGGCAGCTAAAATTTTTTTTTGCTCCAATTCTTTTGCTTTTCAATCACAAAACTTCCCACGGGGCAATGCACTCTTTACTTTCATCACAGAATTGAAGAAGCAAGGCAATTAACATTCAGAAGTGAGTCAAAATGTCTCACTTCTAACATCACACCTTGATTTCTGAGGGAAGAAAATACTATTCAAATAGGGTTTCTGCATGTTTCTAGTGCCTGAATTAGGATAAGTTTAGATTCCGCAAAGTATTCTATTTGATAAAAGTATTGCTGCTATTGTTATTACTATTCCTATTTTTATCTGGTCCACTGAACTACAGTAAGTAGTTTGGGGGATGGAACGTGAAGAGCATGCCTTAATTTTGTAAGGTGGAAGAAAGGTCATTATAAAAGAGGATGGCAAATTAGAACCAAGTGATGCCTTGGCCATCAGTGCCATTTCACACATATCAATTTAGACAAAATGCACTTAAAGAAGTCAAGGACCATCTGTCTGTGTCTCTGGACTCCTTGGAAGGCCTTAGTGGCCTTCCTTCTGGGAGTCCATGTATACCCCAGCTCACGGTCACTCCCTCTGTTGGCAGCAATGAGCTAACACAATGTGTCGTTTCTAACAGATGTATTATTGGATTTTTAAAATTCAATACATATTTTATTACAGAGTCATGAGCCACAAGATGAGAATGTACGACTACTAGAGTTTACCTTAGATTAAGTACCGATTAATTCATATCATTAACCTCAAATCTTTCCCCTGAAAATATTTTGGTTGAATTACACTGCTAGCATCGTTAAAAAAATATTCTCTATGTGTGTGTGTGAAAAATGAAAACTCATTTAGGCTAGCGTAAGTGGGAAAATGAACGTTTTATAAGGATGTTTGGAAACTCAACTAAGAAAAACACAGGAGAATCAAGCTTATAAAACAGGCAAGGTTCAAGTGACTCTAACTAAATAGCAAATAAAACAAAGCAAAACAAACCCCCCCAAACATTAATCAAGGCCATTATAGGGGAACAGGCTTTTTAGGGCTTACCACCATAAGACCATCAGCTTGCTATTCCTGCTGTAACACCAGAGAATCTTCTTCCATTGTGAGAAAATCCTTGATCATTTCTCTACCTTTCTGCCATTTCTTGGAGTCAAAATCCCAGGCAGATGCATCCTCCTGTAGACCCTAAATCA